CCCGAGGGGGACACCGAGACACGGGAGGGGACACCCCGAGGGGGACACGGGGGACACAAAGAGGGACACGGGAGGGGACACCCCGAGGGGGACACACGCAGCGCGCGCCGCACCCGCGCTGCGCCCCCGCCGCGTCCCCGAGCCGCGCTCCCATTGGCCGCCGCCCGGGCGCGGCGCCGCTGATTGGCCGCCTGTCAGCGCGGCCCCCGCCCGCCAATGGCCGCGCGGCACCGCCCGCCGCCCCGCGCGCCGCGGCCAATGGCAGCGCGTCCTCTCCTCCCCGCCGAGGCGGGCGCAGCCAATGGACGGGCGGCGGGGCGGCTCGCGCCGCTTTTCGCGGCAAAAAGGATTTGGCGCGCAAAGGCGCGCGGGGCCGGCGCGCCGAACAATCCGGCAGCGGCCGCACCGGAGCCGGAGCCGGAGCCGGAGCCGGAGCTGGAGCGCAGCGGCCCCGCGCCCGCCATGGGCCGCGCCCCTGTCCGCGCCCTGCCCGCCACGCCGCCCGCCGCACCGGCGGCACCGGCTGCCATGTGAGCCATGGCGGCGGCGGGCGGCGCGGCGGGGCTGGCAGCGCTGCTGGGCAGCGCCTCCCCGCACCTCCTGATCGTCTCCGCCGCCGAGGAGCCCGCGGGCGGCGGCCACCCCGATACCGACCTCCTGCTCTTCGCCACGCCGCAGCCCACCCGCCCCGGCGCCGCGCCCAGACGGCCCGCGCTGGGCCGCCCGCCGGTAACCCCCGCGAGTGGGATGGGGAGCGGGCGGGGGCCGGGCGGGGGCTCCGGGGACCGGCGGGCCCGGGCTGTGTTCCGAGCTGTGCAGTATTGGGCCTCGAACCGGCCTGTAACGACCGGGCCGTATACCCGACCGGGCTACACCGAGCCGGGCTGTACAATGGGCCCGGCTGCGTACCGGGCCGTGCTATGTAGCGAGCCGTGCCAAAGCCAGCCGGGCTGTACAGCGGACAGGGCTCCGTACCGGGCCGGACCGTATTTCACCCTGCTGTGCCCCGTGCTGTGCCATATGCCGTGCCCTGCTCCGTGTCAGCCCGTGCCCGGTGCACCCGGCTGTGCCAGGCTGTACGGCCGGGCCGTGCCACGCAGCACCTGCCGGGCCGGCCCTGCCCCGCCGCCGCTCCGGAAGCCGCAGGCCCCGGCGCCGGGCCGTGCTTGGCCTCCCCAGCCACGGCCCGGTCGGCTTTGGGGCGCTCCCCGCAGCGCGGCGGGGCCCCGCGGCTGGGCCAGCCCCCATCCCTGCCAGCGGGGTGACAGCTCTCATCAACCCCTTCCTGCCGGGATCCGGGGTGTCTGTACCCCACTGTGCTGTGGGGGGTCCTCACAGAAACCCTTCACAGCAGTGGGGCCTGGGGCGGCTGTCCCTGTGCTGACCCCGGCCCTTGCAGGTGAAGAGGAAGCTGAACTTGGAGACGGACCACCAGTACATAGCGGAGAGTTTGCCAGTGAGCCGGGGCAAGGCCAGGAACCCCGCTAAAGGTACCGGCTCCACTCCCCCCGGCCCCCTTGCCAGCCCAGCTCAGAGCAGAGGTCCAGCAGCCCCACTCTGCTCCCCCAGGCTCATCCTGGTAGCTCCTTCCAGGCCCTTTGTGTCGGTGTGGATGGGCTGTTCCCGGGGCTGGCCTGCCTCTGTCCACCCTCCACACTCACTGCTGTGCCCTGTGCTGGTGGCATGGCTGTCCTGCCCTTGTGCTGGGCACCCCTCCGGCTCTGTCCCTCCCCGTGGGATGGAGCTGTAGGTGCCAGCATGGTGTCAGTGCAGTGTCCCAGGTGGACCTGCTGTTATCTCCCCCCAAGCCCAGCCTCAGTCACAGCTGTGGTCACAACGGAGCACAGGTGTCACAGCTTGTGCCAGGTGCTGCAACATCCTTCCTACAGGGGATTTGGGCAACTCACCCCGTTGCCCTGAGATAACAGATTGGGTTTGGGGTGCCAGTCCTGGTCACTAGTCCACAAGCCACCTGCAAGTATGGCAGGAGTTTTGTGACCTTTCAGCTTCAGCTCTGAATGACACTTGTCCTCCACGTCTGGCAGGGGCAAAGTCTCCTGGAGAGAAGTCCCGCTATGAAACCTCCCTGAACCTCACCACCAAGCGCTTCCTGGAGCTGCTGAGCCAGTCCCCAGATGGTGTGGTGGACCTCAACTGGGCGGCCGACGTCCTGAAGGTGCAGAAGAGGCGCATCTACGACATCACCAATGTCCTGGAGGGCATACAGCTCATCACCAAGAAGTCCAAGAACCACATCCAGTGGCTGTATGTCGCTGGCTCATGGGGCTGTGCCTGGCTGTTCCTGGGGTGGAGGAGCTGTCTGGGAGGAGGAGGGTCTTACCTGGGTGGAGAATTTCAGGGCGGGGTCACCAGAGCTTCTGCTGCAGGCCAAGTGGTGGCTCCCTGTGGGGACGGCTGTGCTCAATGGCAGGAGGGTCCTGCGAGTCCCCCTGGGACTCCCCGAGTCACCCAGGGGAGGGGAGGGCTGCATCCAGCCTTGGGGGAGCAGCACTCTGCTGCAAAATCCCTGCAGGGCTGGTTCCCTGCCGGGGGGGTGGGATGTGGCCTGGCCTGGGTGGGGCCCTGGAAGCTGTGGGAGCGGCTCCTGATGGACACGGTGCTCCCCAGGGGCAGCCAGGCCACGGTGGGAGCGCCAGGCCGGCACCGGCTGCTGGAGAAGGAGCTGCGGGAGCTGCAGGCGGCCGAGCGGCAGCTGGATGACCTCATCCAGATGTGCACGGTGCAGCTGCGCCTGCTCACCGAGGACCCCGCCAACCAGCAATATCCTTTGGTTCTGGGGTGGGGCTGGCTGGGTGGGGCTGTGCTTGAGCCGCGGTGGCACAGGCAGGGAGTTTCTCAGCCCACATCCCCGTGTCCCTTCCTTGACCCGCCCCACCGCAGCCTATGTCACCTGCCAGGACCTCCGCAGCATTGTGGACCCCGCGGAGCAAATGGTGATGGTTATCAAAGCCCCCCCAGAGACCCAGCTGCAGGTCTCAGACCCAGCAGAGGTGAGTTGGGGTCACACTCTGCTCCTGCTGTGCCCTCCCTGAGCAGCCCTGGCTGTTCCCTGGGTGTCCTTGTGCCACCTTGTCTCACTCCTGTCCCCTTCCCCAGGCATTCCAGGTCTCCCTGCGAAGCACTCAGGGCCCCATCGATGTGTTCCTCTGCCCCGAGGACAGCTCTGGGGTCTGCAGCCCCGTCAAGAGCCCCTTCAAAGCCCCTGCAGAGGACTCTTCTCCCAGCCATTCCCAGCCCAGAGCCTCCCTGCTCCTGCATCCTGCCCAGGATGTGAACATGCCGCTGCTGCCTGGAGAGCAAGGTGGGCCCGGGGACACGAGGGACCTGGGGACACGAGGGAGCTGGGGACACGAGGGGCCTGGGGACACAAGGGGCCTGGGGGGACACGAGGGAGCTGGTGGGATGTCACAGTGGCTCTCATCAGCCCCTCTGCCGTTGGCACAAGCAAGGAGCTGCCATGCTGCTCAGGCACCCCAACAAGGCAGGGAGGTGGGAAGGCAGCAGCTCCATAGCCAAGAAAGCTTTTTTTGGGGTTTCTCTGGAGACTATTATGGGATTTACAGCTGCTTCCCATCCCCACAGAAGCGCTGCTGCCAGGGCCGAGCGCAGCGCCCAGCAAGAGCCCGGAGGAGGAGGAGGAGGAGGTGAGCCTGTCCCCACTGGCCTCCATGGACATCCTGCTGGAGCAGAGCAGGGAGGACTTGGCGGGTTTCTTGGCCGATGAGTTCATCAACCTGTCGCCGCCGCAGGCGCAGGACTATCACTTCGGGCTGGAGGAGGGCGAGGGCATCAGCGAGCTCTTCGACTGCAACTTTGGGGACTTCACCCCCTTGGACTTCTGAAGCTGTGCCCGCCCGGGTGCCTGGGGGAGCTGCCAGGGGAGGGGGCAGCCCTGGCAGGGCGGGCAGGGCAGGGCAGCCCCTCTGGCCCCAGCGCCTGCTGTTCCTCCCCCATCCCTTTTTGCAATATTTTCTTGTTATCCCTCCAGCCCGGTGGGGGCCGGTGGCATCCTCAGCTCCAGCCCCACGAGGAGGATGCCAGGGTGGGGTTCCCATCTCTGGGGACCCCCCTCCATAGGGCCCTGATCAGGGGCAACTGCCCAGGGCAGAGCCTCTGCCCCCCGGGAGTCCGTTCCAGAGCTTTAAGCAGTCCTGTGTATAGATTAATGATTTGATTAATTTATTATTGTCCCCTGGGGACAGCGTTCAATTTCCACGGGAGTTTGGGGGGGCTGTACAGCAGAGTGGGGGTGCTGAGAGTTTTTGTTGTGCTGGGAGGGGGTGGTGGAGATGTGGGGGGTGCTGGGTTAGGGCTGTGCCCCTGCGTGGGGGCTGCCCACAGCCTGGCTGAGCGTGGGGTATTTATTTATTATTTATGGCGTGTGGAGCTCTCCCAGGACATGGAGGGAGCAGGAGGACAGTGCTGGTGAGACACGGAGGGTGCCACCAGGGTCTCACCAGCACATCCTGGCTTTGCTTGTGTCCAGAGCAGGGCTGGCAAGGCCACGGCTGTGGCAGGGGGCTGCGGGAGCGGGGTCGGGGCTGGATGGGGCTGGTGGCCCTGGGACCATGTGTGTGTGTCCCCTCGGGGACAAAGAGGTGTCCAGGGGGAGCATCTCTGCAGGCGAGCACCCAACGCTGTCTCCAGGCTTTCCTGCCCCTCCCTGTGCAGCCCTTCAGCCTTTTGGCTCTGGCTCCTCATCCCCAGGCCACTGGGGCTGGGAGAAGAGGGGAGGGGGGTCCTGGGGTCCCCCTGGGCCGAGCTGGAGACGCACTTTCACTTTTACTGCCATTTAACAAGCTTGTGTTCTCTGAGCTTTGTGTTTAATAAAGGTTTCTACTGACTCTGCCCTTGGACTGTGCTCAGGTGCCTGGGGCTGTGAGGGGTGGTGTGAGGACTTCAGGTGAGAAATCGGGAGGTTTGGGGTTATTTTGTGGTCTGTTTTCCACTTTGAACTTGAAATCCATGACCAGCCCCCGTACCTGGGGCTGCAATAGGTGCTTCAGACCTTGGTCCCACACAGGGCGGGATCTGGGCCTGATCCTGCCCTCCCTGCTCCTCCAAAGCAGCTGTGCTGCAGGAGGATGGGGTGATGGGTTGGGATGGGGTTTGCTTTTCTTTCAGCTGTCCTGTCCTCACTTGGCTCGTTTCCTGCCTGGTTCTCTGCCTGCCTTCCCCCTGGTTTTGGGGCAGCATTTTCCTGGCTGTGGCTGCAGCATGGGGCCAGTGTGAAGCCACTCCATCCGCTGAGTTCTCTGCTTTCCCCATTCACCCAGCTCTTGGTGCTGCCTCAAGGCACCTGCTGGCAGCAGTTTCTGCCCCAAAGTTCGAGGTCCCTGTGTCCTTGCTCGCTGGGGACACGCTGTGTGCCAGCAGCAGCCCTGGCCCTGGGTGCCCTGATTCCCTCTGCAGCACACCAGGACCGAGGGACACTGGGGACCCCCAGCTTGGGGCTCCCAGGATGGGGCTCAGCAGCGCCATGGCCACTGCCCTAGGGGCAGCCAGGGCTGTGCTACTTCCTGCCTGTGTTCGTGCCCTTTCTCCCCTCCTCCAGCCCAGCCTCCTGCCTGGTTTTCCTTTAAACAGCCTGATAAATATTTCACCCTGAGCATGCTGTGTAAACTCACCCTGCTCCTGCACGGGCAGGCAATGGGATCCCAGGCTCAGGACGGGCTGCTGGTGGGTGCTGGGTGGCACAGAGAGCCCATCACCACTGCCTGCCCGCTTGTGCCTCTCTTCCCACCCCTGAGGCAGTCCCTGGCCCGCTGTGCTGCCCCTGGATTGCTCCTACAGCTGGGCAGGCGTGGGGTGCCAAACCCCATGGCTCAGCTCCGCACACCATTCCCTTTCCCAGCTTTCCCAGCCCTCCAAAGCATGGCAGCAGGGCCAGCCGGGCCCTGCCATCTCCAAACCAGTGCCCAGCAGGGCAGTGTCACACACAGGGCAGTGTCACACACATGGGTGACTCCTGTGCCTGGCTGGGAAGGGCTGGCGTTTGTCACGCTGCCACCCCTTCAGATGGGGCTTTTTCACAGTGACACTGGAGCAGTATTCCTGCTGCTCTGAGCCATGGGACTCCTGCCCACAGAGCCAGGCCAGGAGGCAGGGACCAGGTAGGAGGGCAGGGTTTGTCCCCTGAGGGGCAGGTGTGGAGGTTTTATGAGTTACTGCAGGGTGCCCAGCCCAGCCGTACGCCAGCCCCTCCCCAGCCATCCCTCCTCCTCCACAGTGCTGCAAAGGGGAGACACCCCGGCACGGGAAATGGTTTTTGTGGGGGCCAGGGGGCACAGGGAGAGGGGAGAGGACTCGCACTGACATCCCGAGCTCCACAGGGCTGTCCCCACAGCCAGCCAGCGCCAGCAGCCGCACAGCTCTGCCTCTTTCTCTGTACCTCTCTGGTGGCATCAGTGTCACCCTGCCCTCGCAGGGAAGCTCCCGGGACACTCGCAGCCCCGCTGGAAGCAGCCCCGCGGGGCCAGGGCTGTGTCCCGCTGCGGCAGCGCAGCCCAGCCCTGCGGCTGCACCGCTCCCGGGAGCCACGGCTCGCCAAAATAACCACCCCGCTCCCGGCAGGATCCGTGATGCAGCTGAAGGATTCCCGCTGCTGTTCCGGATGCTGGACAGGGAGCTGATGGGAGCTGCTTTGGAAGAGCACAGGGCAGCGTTGGGAAGCCGCCCCAGGCACTGCCTGGTTTGATTAATCTGCTCCAACGCTGCTTTTCTGTGTCAGGTGAAGGCAGCAGGGTCGGGAGACGGGCACCTGGCACACAGCCTGCCTCAGCTCTCCGTGCCAGGCACTGTGACCCCACAGGGACCGTGTCCATCCAGCCTGCGGTGCTGCTGGGCAGCAGTGGTGACCCCATTGGCACTGGGAAATGCTCTGCAGGAACTGGCCACGGAGCTGAGCCCAGGCAGCCCTGGGATGTCCTGGCCCTCTTCTGTAGCGTTGGGATCTGGGGGAAGCAGGAGAGCTCCACAGTGGGGTGAGCTCTGGGACAGGCTGGCAGTGGCATTAAGTGTCCCCCATAAGGGGTTTGTACCTTTAACCTAATCCCCCTCAGAGGGTCCTAGAGGGGTTTGGGGTCTCTATAGGCAGGGATGTCCTGCCCCACCTCTGCATCCCACCCCCCGCTCCCCTATTTCCACTTCCAAAAGTCTCTCCTGTTTCCTCCACGAGGAGGGAACTCAGGGAGGTGAAGAGCAGTGTGGTTTATTTCTGGGATGCTGTTGAGTGGCTGCTTCCTTTAATTCCTTCCCGTTGAGGTGCTGGGGAGCAGAGCAGAGCCCTGGTGTCCCCCACAGCCGAGGCTGTGTCCCCCTTCCCTGCCATGGCTTTCTGGGAGCTGGGAGCACCTGTCACCTCCTGCCATCAGCAGTTTGCCTGAACTTCATCCTCACTCTCAGGCTGCTGCTTCCCACGTGGAAACTCGTGGTGACTCCCAAGGATCCCACTGGGCACCAAGCGTGGATTTTTGGAGCAGATGGGAGTGCAGGAAGCCCTTCCAAGGGGGGCATTTGGATCCATGGCAGAGCCTCACCATCACCCAAGCCCCTTCCATGCTCCCTGGCAAGGTGAGTCCCCTGTCTCTGTGCACCCCTTGCCCGTGTCCTGCTCCCATTTCAGTTGGATTTGGAGATGGCCATGCTCAACAGCCCTGGGGACAGGGACAGCCCTGTGCCACGTGCAGTGGGTGCACGTGCACCCTGGAGCCCTCGGATGCCCCTGCCAGGGCCCAGCTGTGCTTTTTCCACCTCTTTTGCCTTGCACACACCTGGAACAGCTGGGAGATAGTAAAAATAGCTGTGATGCCGTGGGCTCAGCTTGGAGCCCGTTATCCCAGAGGGAGCAGGAGGTGAGTGAGCTCCACGTGCTGCAGCTCGGTCACGTTGGGCTGGGGAAGGAACTGGGATGTCAGACCTGGCTTAAGCAGAGCTGAGCTCAGCACTCAGGGCGTCCTGGAGAGCTCCACGGAGAGCAGAGGTGGTGCTGAGGGAGGCAAAGCCTGCCTGGGATTTTACAAAATCCAAGCAAAACTGGTTCATACCCCTTTCTCAGGAAGTGAAATCCTGGAATGCAGGCACAAGCCCTCAGGTGCCAGGCAAGGGGTGGGGACTCCTCCTCCTCCTCCTCCTCCTCCTCCTCCTCCTCCTCCTCCTCCTCATGTCCCCCAGCCTGCAGGGGCAGGGGGGTTCACACCTCTGGAGGTACCAGGATGCTGACATATTGCTCCGGAGGGAAGCATCTCAAAGCAAAGGCTGCCTGGCACTGAGGGCATGGTGGAGCTGGCACCACCAGGAACTCATTTGGAACCACCCTGGGTGTCAGGGGACCACTCCAGGGCACCAAAATCACAGTGAGACCACCTGTGGTCAAACTGGGGCCAACCCAAGGCCAAATGAGGAAAGCAGGACTTTCCCAGTGCCATCAGTGTCCATGTTGGGACCACCTGTGGTCAAACTGGAACCAACTGGGACAATCAGGGCTATCCCAAAGCCAACAGCGACTGCACTGGGACCACCTGTGGTCCAGCTGGGGCCACAGTGGGACAACCAGGGCTATGCTAGGACCAGCCATGAGCACACCATGACCACCCTTGGTGAAACTGGGGCAGCCCCAGGGCCAACTGGGGCAACCAGAGCTACCCTGGGGGTAAGAGCAACCACGCTGGGACCACCCATGGTCAAACTGGGACCACTCAGGGCCTCACTTAGGGCACCCAGGGCTATGGTGGGGCCAACAAAGACCACGCTGGGACCATCCATCACCAGACTAGAGCCACCCTAGGGCCAGCTGAGGCGCCCAGTGCTACAGCGTGGCCAACAGTGACCGCACTGAGAGCACCTGTGGCCACACTGCGATCACTGGGGCAATCAGGGCTACTGTGGAGCCAACACTGAGACCTCTGGTCACACTGGGACACTCCGGGATGGCCACAGAACCGCGCGTGGGATCCCACTGGGATCTATCTGGTCCAACTGGGACCGCCCCAGCGGCGAGCGGGCAGCGGGACCCAGCGAGGCCCCGCCCCTCTCCGTTCCGCCAAGCACATTGGTGGTTCCTGCTGCCAATCACGCCCCGTGGCCAATCGGATGGCGGCGGGGGCGGGCCCTCCGCGGAGCCAAAGTTGGCTGGGGCGGCGGAGGCGCTCGGCGGAGTCGGGATCGGCGGGGCGCGACCTGCGCACGGACCGGGCCGAGCCGGGCCGAGCCGGGCCGAACCGGGCCGAACCGGGCCGAGCAGAACCGAGCCGAACCCAGCCGAACCCAGCAGAGCCGGGCCGAACCCAGCCGAGCGGAGCCGGGCCGAGCTGAGCCGAGCCGAGCCGAACCGAACCCAACAGAGCCGAACCCAGCCGAGCCGAGCGAAGCAGAGCCGGGCCGGGCCGAACCAAACCAAACGGAGCCGAGCTGAGCCGAGCCGAGCCGAACCACCCTGCCTAACCGGACCGAGCCCTGCCGAACCGAGGAGAACCGCACCGAATCCATCCCTAGAGCAGCGCACCGAACCCGTCCCTGCGGCACCGAGCCGATCCCCAAGGCACCGAACCGGACCCACCCGTACCGCACCGAGGCCGTTCCTTCCGCGCCCAGCCCATCTCTTCGGTACCGCACCGAGCCGTGCCCTGCGGCACCGCACCGCATCCCGGGGCACCGCACCGCGCCTAAGGCACTGCACCCTCGGTACCGCGCCGCTCTCCGCGCCCGGTGCCCGCAGCCCCCGCGCCCGGCGGGACCATGATGTCGTGTGCCGAGCTGCTGGCCGTGTGCCTGCTCTCAGCTGATCGCGGCCCCAAGCCCCACCGCCAGCCGCTGCCCATCTTCCACGACGTGAGTACCGCGGGGGGACCCCCGCAGCCCTGCCCAGCCCCGGGCCGCCCGCGGGGAGCCGCCGCACGGGTGGCGTCGGGGGGAGGCTCCTTCCCGGAGGAACCGGCCCGAGGGATGCGCCCGTGCCAGCCCGGAGCTGTGCGTGTCGTGATGGCTTCAATAATGATGTCGGGTCCTCCTGCTGAATGCTGGGCCTCTGGGTGGCTGGAAACGGCCCACGCCTCATCCAGAGCTGGCTGTCACGACTCCCGGAGCGGGAGCTGTGTGTGGCAGGAACGCTGTGGAAGGTTCCCTGGAGCTGTTCACAGCTGGGATCCAGCAGAGCGTTGTCTGCGGCAGCCCCGGGTGCAGCCCCCGGGTGCAGCCCCTGTCCCTGCCCGCTCCCGGCGCTCCGGGGTTGTGCAGCAGGATGCTCCGTGCGGGTTGGGGGTTGCCTCGGCATCCTGGCGGCTGTGGGTGGCACGGGGGAGCTGGGAGTGCAGGTGGCGGCTGTCTTTGTGCTCAGAGATGCTGGCACAGCTCCTCCTGTCGCACCGCGTCCCCTCCAGGCCGAGCCGCGCCGCTGCTGTGACGGGGCCGGGGCTCGGGGGAGGCGGCTGCACGCCGGCCATCGCCCGGGCCAGCGGCACAGCCCGGGCCACAGCAGCTCTGCAGCACCCCGCGGGGCTCGGCCCTCCTGCTCCTGCCCCAGTGTCCCCGGTGACAGAGCCCTGGCATTGCCGCGTGTCCGGCACCGCTGCGCTCCGAGCCAGCCTGTGCACCAAGGAGATGTGCGGGCAGAGTGCTGCCCCTGCCAGCCAGGCTTAAGGATGAGGGCTGGTGGTGCCGGGCACCTGCACAGCCAGGTCGGTGCCAGCCGTCATGTCCCAGCTGTCACCTCCGTCTTGATCCGCCCCAGGTTGACCCCCGTGCCCCAGCCCATCCCAGAGAAGGGGAACAGCAGCTCTCAGGCAGCACTTTGGGAAGGTGAATGCCACGTCTGGTCCAGTCCAACACCCCCTGGCATCCCCAGGAAGGCGCTGGGAAGCGCGGCTCCCTCGGCCGTGGTGCCGCTCGCAGCTGCCAGCTGGAGGTCAGGGTCTGTCCCCTGCCCGGGGGGCTCGGGCTGCCAGGCTCTCCAGCCAGCATCATTAACCGCGCTAATTACTTGGCTGAGGGAAGGTGGGCAGGAGGGGGCGGGTGGTGACAGCTGTGTTCCAGCTCAGCTCCTCAGGGCACTCGTTGAGTCGCATATCCATCCCTCAGGGTGTCATTAAAGCAATTAAAATGGGAAATGTTAACAACGCTAGCAGCTGCTTTCCGGGTTTTGACGGCTTCCCTTCCTCTACCCTGAGACTCCTTGCTCCCACCTTTGCTCCAGAGCTCGGCAGGGTGAGTTTAATCTCCGCGCTTTTGGGTCTGGCCACTTGGCCAGGGTCCAGCTGCCCCCAGGCTGCTCGGGCTGAGCATCCCACGGCAGCAGCGCAGGAGCCCCGCCTGCCTCCCGGCAGCGCTGCCCACCACAGATCCCGGTGGCCGCTGCTCCGCTGGGACCTGCCTGCACATCTCCTGCCTTTGGGAGAGGTGAGGAGGAGGAGGAGGAGGAGGAGGAGGAGAAGGAGGAGGAGGAGAGCTTTGCCCGAGACGCTTCGCTGCAGGCGCGGCACGAACCGCAGTGCTGCCATGGCTCTGTGCAGCATCTCAAGCCTCGGGGAGATTTGTCCCTCAGGCTGGGCTTGCTCTGTCCCCTCCCGGGCCACGGGAGCTCAGGCAGGACGGTGCCTGGCCGCAGCCTGCCTTA